AGTGTCCTTAGCTTGAAGACACTTTTCTCAGATCTTGCAAATCATCAAGAGTGTACTATGCTGGGAAGGGCTCAATTAATGCACGGTGTCCATCTTTCATGTACAAATCCCTCGTTGCTATAAATCACCCCATCCCTGCAGTATTTAGGATAGTAAGTATACACTGTTGGACACTTGCTTTCTTTTTTTTGGTGTTATCATTATTTAAAATTTTAGAAAATATTGGATAATACATTTCAAAATTCCTATATTTTGATGAGGTAGTAAAATATTTCTATATAAATAAAAATTATAAAATTGAGTAGAAATTAAAGAGCATAATACACTATTAATGAAAAAAGTTTTTTCAGAATTCATAAGGTTTCTCTGCACTGTGGGTCTCATATACAGTGAAATTTGAGGATTTACCCTGTCACCAGATTCTTTACATTCACAAGTGTGCTCACCACTGTGCATTCATTCTTGTATGTTTACTGATGTGAGGAGGGACTAAATTATTTTCCACATTCCTTGTCATAAGGCCTCTCTCTACTGTGCATTCTCATGTCAACTGAAGTTACTAAATTGAGGAAGTTTTTCCACAGACCTCACATTCCTAAGACCTCTCTCCCCATTGGGAATTCTCATGTCGACTGAGTTGTGAGGATCGCACGTTTTCCCACATTCCTTACATTCATAAGACCTCTCTCCACTGTGAATTCTCATATGGTGATTTAAGTCTGAGGACTGACTAAAGGTTTTCCCACATTCCTTACATGCATAAGACTGCGCTTCACTGTGAACTTTCATATATCTACTGAGGTGTGTAGGTTGAATAAGTTTTCATACATTCCTTTACCTTTCTCTACTGTGAATGCTCATATGTAGGTTTGTCTGAGGACCAACTAAAGGTTTTTCCAGTGTCCTTACATTCTTAAGGCCTCTCTCCACTGTGAAGTCTCATATGTTGAAATAAGTTTGAGGACTTATTAAAGGTTTTTCTATATTCCTTACATTTGTAAGGCCTCTCTCCACTGTGAATTATGTTGATTTAAATGTGAGGACTAAAGGTTTTTCTACATTCCTTACATTCATAAAGGCTCTCTCTGCGATGAATTTTCATGTCGATTGAGAGTAGAAGATTGAGTAAAAGTTTTCTTACATTCTTTACCTTCATAAGGCCTCTCTCTCCACTGAATTAATTCTCCTAGGGTGACTGAGGCTAGCAGAGTGGACGTTTTCTAACATTCATAAGGCCTCTCTGTGAGCTGTCATGTCTAGTAAGATATGAAGGTCTAATAAAAGCTTTTCTACATTACATATATTCACAAGGCTTCTCTTTGCTGTGCATTCTCATATGTTGACTGCAGCATGTGAATTGAGTAAAAGCCTTCCCACAGTACTGACAGTCATTACAGACTCAGCTCCATTGGACATTGCCATGTCACTTGTGAGTGTGAAGGATCGCCAAAGATTGTACCACAGTCTTTATATTCACAGCATTTGTTTCCTGTTAGAAATTTTACTAGAGTGTGCATATTGGTTTTTGCACATTTCCTAAATAGATCAATCTTTAATTGAATGTGAATTAGCTTATTCGTTCTACTGAAGAAAGATCCTTGGATGATTTTCCATCTTGAAGACATTCCATGGGATATAATTATCCAGTTATTTTTAATGCAGAAATAGATATTTGATGGGAGATCTCATCAACAATATATTCCTTATATCCTCCCAAGAATGTCACTGGCAAATATCTTCAACTATAGCTGGTTTGTGAAGGCTTCCACCATCACATCTCTGTAGAGTTGCTTCTGAAAATCACCCAGCAATGCCCGTTCCTCTGGGGTAAAATCCACAGCCACATCCTCAACAGTTATGGAGTCCTGGGAGCGCCAGCAACAAGGTGGTCAGGCTGTAGGTACTTCTCAAGCACCGGGTGCAGCGCACAGGAGCGTAGCATCCGCGCCAGCGCTGTGTGCTGCCACACTTACTTTCTATAGGTATTTCCTCTTGTGTAACCTGAGTTTCCAACAGAAATCCCTAGAATAGTCAGAACAGACGTCCCCACACCTCCTGAACCAAGATGACCAACTTGGCAAACTATTTATGAAAACCCTGCACTGTCACCAGGTCCCTGAAACCAACATCTCACACCTCCTGCTGTCTCTGCCCGCAGCGCCACAATGGTCCTGCTGGTACCACCAGCCCTGCGCCGGCTGGCTCAGCACAAGTTTCACCCAAGTCTTTGAAACCTAACCATGTTGGTAAGTGGAGAGAGGGGCTCAGTTTCCATTTGATTTGGTAAATAACTATGGCTTGTAAAGCAGTCGTTTGTTTCATCAAATATAAAATAGAAAGGGTTCTTTTACGGAACGGTGGTTAGGTGCCTGAGGAGCTGCGCTGGGCTCACTGTTCACGGAGCACTTCAGGTTGGAGTTGACATGGTCTTTGGGGAGCGGGTGAGCTGCAGCACAGGGCACCCCCCCTTTTCCGTTTGCTCACTGTACGCCATTCCGCTGGCATCTCTTATTCACCAGATCTTCAACAAAAAATCTCTTTAGATTTTACATACGTTTTTAAGTAAAGTTTTGCATTTTAACTATAAATCATTGGCTCAGATGATGCTTCAGATAACGATTTTATATGTGTGTTTATTAACTGGCTGGGTTTAAAATTCTCAGTGCTCCTGTTAATGTTAAATAAGAGCGTTATATTCCAGACACAAATTCCAATCAGGTGTTTTCTGAAACTGAGGCAGCACCACCATAAAACCAACTAGCACATGGCATAATAATGACTATTTGATCATGTGACCTTCATATTACGAGTCATTACTATGCGGCAGAGATGGATGAGGTTGAGGTCTAAAATGAAATGAGTCTACGTGGCTAACCAGTTAGCTGGAACCTTGCTTCTAAACATGCTTTCTTATCTCTTATGCTCAGCTGTCGTCTGGCTCCCTATAACTTACTCTGAAACAACACATCTCTGCTGAGTCTGTGTACCTATTTTGTTTTTTATTGAAGCTCAAAACCTTGGACTGCGAACCACAAGATCAGCTGTTCAAACTCAGCAGATGCTGTGCAGCTGAAGACCAGGCTGTCTGCTCCCACGAAAGATGTCATCTTGGAAACCACGTATACGGTCATTCTGCATCGCAATCAACTTGATGGCAGTGGGTTTTTATTAAGTGGTGCAGTTTCTAAGGCAGACCAGGTCTGCCTGATGATTGGTACTAATTGCTTAGAGTTGTGTTTGCCAGCCACAGCAATTTCCTGGAGTCTGTAACCAAACCCGGGAAGAACATGCATTTATTCTGTGAGAACGTACCAATTGTAACTAGGTAAGCATCTCATGAAGACCAAGTTGTGAATCTTCCCCTTGCCCATAAGAAATCCCCGAAGGGAAGTACCTCAAACCTTAAAAGCACCTCCAATACTCAATACTTTCTTTAGTAAAAAGCAGTTTTAATACGGAAAAATCATTAACCAGGGTTTTCTGCAGAAGATAATGAACGAAATGGTGCTTAAAGTAGTAAATATTAAGGGTATTAGCAATCCAAAAAGAATTTCATTTTTAGCCCCTTCCTTTGTACTGTGAGTGGTTTTTTCTACTCGGCTAGCAAGCCAGCGTGGTTAAAACCTCCGAGAACATTTCACAGGGTTTATAGCAACTAAACCAAAACTCAAATCAAACTCACTGCCATCAAGTTGACCCCACAGGACAGACGCTTTAGGTTTCTAAGCCTATATATCTCTTCAGGAGCAATCTCATTTCCCTCCCCCAAGAGCAGCTGGTGGTTTTGAACAGCTTGCCTTGTGGTTAGAAACCCAACTCATTATCTACACCACCACCAGGGATCCTTTGATGTAACTAAAGCAAGTTAAGGTGAGCTTCCATGGGGTCTTACTGAAGCCTGTCGACATTTGAAAGCTAGCGAATTATTGGAATTTGTGAGAGAATGTGGGACATCGAGGATCAACCTTCGTACGTACCAGCACTTTGTCAGGAAACAAACGAATGGAGCCCTCTCGTTCCTTCTCTGGTATATTGAACACCTGTATCCACAAAGACGCATCTTCTCAGGGGTAATAGAAATGATTCTTCTAACTCAATGGTTAATCCCCAAATCTTTTTACTTAAATGCACAGCACTGACATCAAACTGACACCACACCCTCCATTATCTTATTCCTAGTTCACCCATCTCTTTCAGCCCCCTTTAGATTACACACTTCAGCTGGGAGAACGCCCGCAGTCAGTGCTCAGTGCTCTCTGAAAGCACTCACTCCCAAGCCATCTTGCCCAGTTCTGCACGTTTAAAAACATCCATTTTATGGCAAATCGTGTTAGAAAGATTGATATAAACGTGGCAGTCACCAGCCTAAGTAAGAAAAGCCTATTTAAAAGAAAAATAGTAGGGCTCAAATAGAAAGTAAATGTTTAGAAAATGATGATGGCAACATATGTACAAATATGTTTGATACAATTGATGTATGGAATGTTATAAGAGGTGTAAGAGCCCCTAATAAAATGATTCTAAAAAAAGAAAGAAAAATACTGATGTTCATTTCTTTTACCTTATATTTAACAAAAATTTACCATTGCAACTGCATGCTAATCCTTCTGGCAAAGAATTAAAGCTAGTGCCTACTTTGCAAGTGTGGCAATTTCCCGACAACAGCCCATAATGGGCAGGAGCTTCATAAGGGACTTTCAAGCACCATCATAGAGGGTCATGCTGTCGTTGACTTTTGTCAGTGGTTTTTTTCTCAAATGCTTACCTGGCCTGCATATTACCCAGGGCTGTATTCCCCTGGAAAGCCAGCACTTTATGGTGTTTTTGATTTGGAAACTAGTCTTAAATGACAAAGCACTGCTGGGAAAAAAGGTGGACAGACGGTGGCAGAGGCCCAAGGGCTGAGAGCAGGGCCACAGAGCCCTGCTTGCATGAGAAGATCGTGGCTAACAGGCACACTCAGTTTTTCAATTACTTGATCTGCTTCCTGATTTATTAACATCATTGTGAGATTACAGGGTATTTGAAATCACTAAACAGTAATGACCCTTAAATGCTGAATGACTAGAGTACTTGGAAACAAGGTTGAGGTTAAGCCAAATCCGAACTGAAGCAGAGGCCTGTGAAGACATCTGCTGCCCACGAGCTCCTTCCACACGGGCTGGCTTTAAGGGCGAAGCAGCAAGGCGTGGTGAGCCGCCAAAACGAGTCTTCCGGCCTTTCATTTGGTTTTACTTGGTTTCTACAATGGGAGGAGCCATTAGAACTCCTGCAAACAGAAACCTACAAATTAAGAAATACCAGTTCAGTGTCACTAAAAGCTGTCAACAAAACATAGAACACACACACAAAGGACATAGCTGCATACTTTCACCCTTCTGAGATAGTTCTGAGTAGATTCTGAATATGATATCAAATTGGTACTTTGGGAGTATGAAGTACAGGGATCTCACATTCTGTACTCAAAGTCAAGACACGCTATTAAGCTAAGTTCTAGTGATGCTGCACGGTAAGTGTTGGGCTGCTAATCACAGGCTTGAGGATTCAAACCCACAGTCACTCTTTGAGAGAAAAATGAGACTGTCTGTTCCCATAAAGACTGACACCTTCAGAAACCCCATGTGGGTCACTATAATCCCAAGTGAGTGGATGGCAGTGTTTTTGTTTTTTAAATCCAATTTAAAACAAAAACTTTACTACCATTAAAACATTCATTTTCAAATGCCCCAGACAACACACCTACTCTCTTAAGAATGGTGAGATACTCACTTTCATCAGTTTTCTTTGTTGCAAACATCTAGAACGTTTTGTCCATCATGTGTAGGAAGAAAGACTTTCCTGGGTGGCACTGTTTTGACAGCTACTGGAGTAGCTAGGTTTGAATTGTACTTTGACAAAATCTAAAAAAAAAAAAAAAAAGCACAAATGCCTTTTTTAACCAAATTCTAAGACAGCCCACAGCAATGACCCAACTTAACTTGCACATGGTGACTTGATTTCCCAAGCCTTTGAAAATGCACTCCAACTAAAGTTAATGGAAATAAGAAGCAACGCATTCCTGAAAACAGATTCAGTCTTTACACAGATGCTTGGGAAAGTAGAAAATATTGGAAATAAACGCTTAAAAGAAAGACTGTCAGAAGTGCAAACAGCATTACTAACAAGGCAGAGACCACTATAATCTTGATTCTGAACTTGATACTTGGCCAGCTGACCTCCCTACAGACACAACCTGAATTTGTTCTGGATCTAAGTATCTCTTAGTTGTTCCACGACAGAAATCACTTCCCTGGCTTTCTGAATGTTGATGGGGTCTTCTCCCTCTTGCGCATGATTTGTACGTTTGTCTATATTAATATGATCTTATCTGTACCACCTTAGTATGCTTTGTTTTTTGTTGTTTTGTTGGGTATTCTGTCTGTGAAGCCCAGGAGGAGTGGATGCATAATGATAATAACTGATACAAGGGGTTACAGGGAATGCACCGGGAAGGGGGTGGGACACAGCCGGTAGGAAAGGAAAACGGATCTTGCGAGTCAATAATGAAGGGGGAGGGGGGAGGGATCACTGGAACTGATTGTGATTACACAACTCATTTTAAAGCCTTGGGGGCAGGCAGGTTAGGGACGGCAGGGGTAATCCTCTAAGATTGATGTGGTGGTGAGTGTACAATTCCCTTTGATATGATTAAACAATTGAACTATTCAGTGGTTATGATATGTAAATTATGTGCCAATAAAACTGGGGAAATAATAATTAAAAAAGAAAAGATGGTCAGCTATGAAGATTATAAAAAGAGAATCTAAAATGTCAGCAATATTCTTTTTTCCATACATAAGGAAATCATGCTTGAAATATACCCTCCTCACTTATAACAGATATTGTTAGCTTCTCAGACTAGACCATTAAGGAAAATCCGGGTTGTGCAAAAACGGATGAGTATATGAGGATAACTGCATTACATAACAGTCCACTTGTATCTTTACATTCTGCTAAACCACCGAGAATCATGGCCTTCAAAGCTGACACAGAACCTTAACCATCACAGCCAGCAGTACTGTTGCTTCACACCTTAGTGTGCGTTAGTGCCAGACATACATTGACAATGTGGAAAATCACCAGGTAGATTTTTGCTATTGTAACTATGCAACATCGGATAATGTGATAATCAGTTAGTGAAAAGAGTGTGCCCAGGTTTCTTCCCTTTCTTATACAATAGCGAGAGAAGTGTCAGCCAAAGAGAAAGCGGAAACTCAGTACAACTATACAGAAAGAAGAGGTTCCTGCCTCTCCTAGTTCACTATGAAAGCAGAGAAAAAAGGTCAAGAAGTATTTTAATAGTATCTGAGGGGAAGGCTGTTTTAATCGCCTTACTTGTATCTTCCCAAGTGCCCATCTCCTTTTCATGACTGTCAATAGCAAGATTTCTAGAATCCTCTTTAGTAGGAATTTAGTAGGAATTCCACTTGCCTGAGCAATGCTTTCCAAATACAACTTCTAGTAAAGGGAAACTAAACAAATCAGACTGGTTATAAGATAGAGTTAGCAATTACTCTACAGCCATAATCCAAGAGCAATAAAGGATGGGGGACTGAAGAACCAGAGGTTCTAGTAACAGAATTCAGTATTAATCACACGGAGGTCCAAGAAACCTCAGTTGAAGAAATGTTAAAGTTATTCATGAGCATTATCAGTTATTTCAATTTCTGCCTTTTTAAGCAGCTTCTCCAAGGGAACAACTGTACATGGAGCTCATAATTGAACATCTATCAGAAACTGTTTTGTGAATAGAGTTCAGACATGAAGTCAAAGACAAAATGATCCCCCCCAAGAAGAATTCCCTTCAGAGTACAGCACTGACGCTGCAGCTCAAGGAGAGGGACTGGTCTGGTCAGAGCACACAGGAGCCAATGAGGGGGGATAGGGAAAAAAAAAAAAGAGTGAAGCACATCCTGGCTCACCAAGCCCTGAGGACAATGTTCCTGCTCAGAACAGCAATGCACAGAGACGACCACAGGACTGGCCTCACCACGGGACACAGCGTTCCTCATTGACCCATAGCACCATTGAGGACAACACTAAAAACATACGGCGGGAATTGTGCCTGCCATGAGCTCACTAAGCCGAAGCCAGCCTCTGGGGACATGCAGCAGAGTTGCAGGGGGAGCAGAGCAATGAAGTCCCCAGGGATAGAGGCGGTGCCAGGACATGGCACCCCATCAGACTCGACTGGAAAGCACCTGTGAAGGACAACAAACAGACCTTGAACTATTTATACGTTTTTTTATGTGTGTGTGTATGTTGTTGTTGTTGTTGTTGTAGCTATTGTTTTACTTTCTGTTGTTGCTTTGTTTTACTCAGTCTTATGAGGGTACATAGCATGTCTACCTGGAAGGGATAGGCGGAATAAACAAGCCAGAAGAGAGAACAATGGGATGACAGTTCCAGGGGGCATGGAAGTGGGAGAGGCTGCGGAAAGGATGTGGGTGTTAACAAGCCCAGGGGCAAGGGAACAACAAAATCAGTGTCAAGGAGGGTGTGGGAGGTCTGGCAGGGCTGGATCAAGGGCAATGTAACTGAGAGGAATTCCTAAAACCCAAATGAAGGCAGAACATGATAGTGGGACAAGAGGAAAGTCCAAAGAAATAGAGGAAAGAACTACGAAGTAAAGGGAAGTCATAGAGATTTAAATGCAGGCATATAAAGATGCAAATATATTTATATACAACGAGGGGGAAATAGATCTATGCACATATATTTATACGTTGAGTATTAAGAAAACTGCACAAGTACTCCCTCAACACAAGAACACTTTGTTCTAACAATTCGGCAGTCTGAGATCGCTGAAGACAATGGGTGTACAAGCAAAAGTGGTGAAGAAAGCTGATGGTGCCCGGCTATCAAATGATATAGCGTCTGGGGTCTTAAAGGCTTGAAGATAAACAGGCGGCCATCTAGCTAAGAAACAACAAAGCCCACATGGAAGAAGCACACCAGCCTCCCCCAACACGAACGCTTAAGACAAAGCGGGTGCATAGGCAAATGTGGTGAAGAAAGCTGATGGTGCCCGGCTGTCAAAAGATATAGAATCTGGAGTCCTATAGGCTGGAAGATAAACAAGGGCCATCTAACTGAGAAACAACAAAGCCCACATGGAAGAAGCATACCAGCCTGTGAGATCATAAGTTGTCGAAGGGATCAGGTATCAGGCACCAAAGACCAAAAAAAAAAAAAAATCATAGCATTGTGAATGAGGGGGAGTGCAGAGTGCGGACCCTGGGCTCATCTGTGGGAAATTGGACATCCCCTTGCAGAAGGGCTGCGGGGAGGAGACCAGCCAGTCAGGGAGCAGTGTAGAAACAATAAAATATACAATTTTCCTCTAGTTCTTGAATGCTTCCTCCCAAACACTATCATGATCCCAATTCTACCTTACATATCCGGCTGGACCAGAGGATGTACACTGGTACAGGGAATCCAGGGTAGATGAACCCCTCAGAACCAGTAGTGAGAGTGGCGATACCGGGAGGGTGGAGGAAAGGTGAGAGAGAAAGGGGGAACAGATGACAAGGTCTACATATAACCTCCTCCCTGGGGGACGGACAGCGGAGAAGTGGGTGAGGGAGACGTCGGATGGTGTTAAGATATGACAAAATAATAATAATAATTTATAAATTATCAAGGTTAATGGGAGAAGGGGGAGCGGGGAGGGAGGGGAAAAAAATGAAGAGCTGATACCAAGGGCTCAAGTAGAACGCAGGTGTTTTAAGAATGATGAAGGCAACATATATATGAATGTGCTGGACACAATTGATGTATGTATGGATTGTGATGAGTTGTATGAGCCCCTAATAAAATGATTTTAAAAAAAAAGAAAAGATCTTGGTTTGCTGGGCAAAATGTAACTAGAAATAGGGTAAATAACTAATTTTAGGCTTCTCTCTGAAGAGCCGTTGACAGGCCATCCTGGGAAGACCTCACAGAGGCTCAAACTAGCACATCAACCAGACAGCAAATAAGACAGCGTAGTTTCAGTTCCTTAACATACTGATCTAGTTTTCTGAAGAATATGCCGGAAAGAAAAGAGGAGAAAATCGGCTGTAACAATCACCTGGAGAATATCCACGGGAATTGTCGTTACTTCTGGTGGTGTGGGGGTTCTGAGTAGATTTTCATAAGAAGAAATCGTAGGGGAAGACGGGTCTGCCAGATTCTCAAAGGATTCCTTTGAATTTAAAATTAGTGAAGTAAAATTTGTCCTTTCTAAATCACTGGTTGAACTCTTTGCTTTTGTTAGTGGCTCATCTGAGGGTTCCTATTGAATAATAAAAAAATGTTAAGGTCATATAAATAAAACAATAGTGTAAATAAAAACATATATTTGAATTTTGAACAACATGCATTTGAACGACATAGGCCCATCTATATGCAGATTTTTCCTGTTGCTCGAGTGGTGAAGAGGGAACTCAAATGTTGCAAGTGTCCTTTAAAAGGCCCGTATTACTGAGCATCATTAAACAGTGGTATGTTCATGTGGAGACGATGAGCACCATGTGGCATTATACGTGGATCCTGGCAACACGTGACTTCACTACAAAAGCGGTGGAGAGAAAAACGGTGGATTAATTGGGCCCATGTAGTTCAAATTTAGCTTCACCATGTAGTTCAAATTTAGCTTCAAGGGTCAACTCTAAATTATACCCAAATTTTGACTGCAGAACAGGTTGGTGTCCTTAGCTCCTTACATTGTTCACGGGCCAACTGTACCTTTAACTCTTCATTCTGTTGTGCTGAGTAGGTCCAATAATGACACCCTTCTTCCACGAGTCTTACACAGAATTGGAAAAGCATGTGCTGGCTTATGGAGACCACATGGAGTTACTGCTCCACATGACACCTACACTGACTGGTAGACTAAGCCCAAGATTTAAGCAGTCTTAGATCTCTCAAGTGTCACAGCATGGAGGAGCAAAGGTGACCCTGCAGGCAAGGTGAAAGGAGTGTGCAGGCTGTGCCAGGTCCCTCAGGGACCCTATGCACAAGAGGAGGAGACAGTCTTGTGTCACGCTCAATCATTACTGCGCTTGAGCCCATGCGTGCAGCCACCGTTTCAATCCACATCCTTGACCATCTTCCTCTTCTTTGCTGAGTTTCTCTTGATGTCTTTTCCCAGGACCTGGTCTCTTCTGATAACAAGGCCAAGTCCATGGGTTCAGCTGTTTGAACTTACTAGTCAGGCCAAGGGAGAAAGCGGAGGCTGCCTGCTCCTTTGAAGACTGACATCTTAGGAACCCCAAGGAGTGGCTCTACTCTGTCCTACAAGGTTGCTATGAGTGGAATTAACTTGATGGCAAGGAGTTTTTGGCATCGTTTGGTGTTCAGATAATTTGCAATGTTTTGTTGTTATAAATCACGCTCTTTATAATAACTCTGCACACAAATCTTTGTTGCAATTTCCCTTAGAATTTTCGAGACATCGCTGCGTGTGTCCTCAAGTTGATTTCAACTCGCAGCCATCCTAGAGGACGGAGAGATGCCCCCGGCGCGTCCCCGGCTGTCGTCTTTGTGGGAGCAGTGTGCTGGGCCTTTTCTCCCACGGGGCTATTGGGCTCGAAAAACTGACCTTTCAGAGAGCAGCTGAACTAGGACCCACTCCTTTGAGGCATGGTTAAAGGGGTAAAAAAGCCTCCCAGCATTCGCTATGTTCAGCTCAATCGCTCTCCAGAGATGCTTTTTTGAACAGACGGTTTCAAAATCTGGAAGGAACAGTGGTTCTACGTCACTGGGACAAAGATGAGGGCTCACAGTTTTGTGGCAATGTACCAAATCTGCACTGTTGATTGTAGGAGGGATTCTCAAGCCTGGGGTGCAGAATGTTGGGGCCAAGGGTGACAATGTATACTCAGCACCTGAAGGCAGAGAACACAGTATGAGAATAAAGGTGAAATTAAGGGTTCTTACAAGCCTGTCAATGTAACATGTGCGCTTTATTTGTAATAACTAGAGAAAGTACAGTAGTAAACTATAGTGTGTGCTTGACTGGACAGAAAAAAATGAAATGGTCACTATTCATATATGTACATATTATTAGCAGTAACACTGAAACCTGTCTTGTGGATTCCGACTCTGAGCGACCCTACCCGGCACAGAGGCTGACATTTTCACAGCAGCAGATTGCCCTATCTTTCTCCCGTGGAACGGCTGGTGGCTTCCAACGACTGACCTTAACCCACAAAGCCACCATGGTTCCTTCGCACTAAGCTTATCACTACGAAAGTTCAGCAAGGCTGCAAGGCTCAAGATTGATATACAAAAATGAACAGTTTGTAGAAAACACCAGGAAACTATTAAAAATATCATTTATGGCAGTAACGCGATAGCTACAAGAGAGTAAGATACCTAGAAATAAAGCTGGTAAAGACCACGTTACATGTGACTGGAGAATCTTATCAAACTTCCAAAGAAGGAAAAAGAGGAGGGGAGAAGAGGAGGAAGAGGAAGACCAGGAGTAGTCACTTGATCTCCAGAACACCCACTGATGCCAGAGTGCAATTACAAGGAGTGGATCTTTTGCCAAGGATGCAAAATATGGGTGAAAAATACACACACACACACACACACACACTGACATGTTGTGTGCCCATATAAGTAATATGCTCACATAGGTGTACAGGGCTCACAGGAAACTAATGCTCAAGGGGGTTATATGGTTCCCCCTCCCCCTAAAAAAAGTGTATAACTCACGATATTAGACTGTCTATAGTGAAATAACTCTTTTTTATCCCTTGGACACAGTCTAGAAAAAATATAGCTGAGAGATAGCTCGATTTTTACACTTACCAGGTTTTCCCAATTGCTGGCTGACGGGGCCAGGAGAGACAACGAAGTCATCGTTGGCAATTGGTTCTGTCCCGATGGCTCCTTCACTGGCACCAGTCATGGGGAAACTGAAAGGTGAAAAGTCAATTATTCAAGCCCCAAGTCAAGTTTCCTCTTACTATATAATATCAAGCCTAAGCTAACATTAATGTCTGCTTATGGAACAGAAGTCCAAGGAACAAATCATTTTTTCTTTTGGTTTAATATTCATGACTCAAAGAGATTAAAAGCCATGCTCTATTGATGCTATTTCTTAACAGTTTTATTGGCACACAATCTACATATCATACAGTGCAACCACAGTAAGAGTTGTACAATCATCACCTCTTCTTTCTTATGCTTATTGTTATTAGCGCTCCAATTCTCCCCAACATTCCCCACCATACCCATTCATTCCACAACCCAGATGCCCAGCAGTAGAAGAATGGATTAAAAACCCCTAGTATAAACACACAAGGGAGTACTATGCATTCCTAAAACACAGCAATGAAACCAGGAAACACCTCCTAACGTGGAGGGAACAGGAAACCATTATGTTCAGTGGCATTAGTCAGTCAAAAAGGGCAAATACTGTATGAGTCCACTACCATAAGGGTAAACACCAAGATGAAGGCAGGATCTACTGATGCTTCTGACGTACAACTCTGAACTAAAGAAAAGCAGTAAATTCAACTTAGGAATTCAATGACAGAGACGGTAGAGTTAAGGACTTCAAAAGCATTAAGTGGAATTTGACAACCAATATACAGATAAGTAATTTGGTATTTTCTAAGACTAAAATGACTGATTTGGTCATTTTATTAACGCCGTCCTAGACAGTTACTCATGGGATAAAGATGTTTCCTACTCCCATAAAAGAGTTACAGCCTTACTGATTACAAGAATCTACGTACAGCCTCCTCCCTGGGGGATGGACAGCAGAGAAGAGGGCGGGGGGAGACGTTGGACAGTGTAACTTATGACAAAACAATAATGATTTGTGAATTATGGAGGGTTCATGAGGGAGGGGGGAGGGGGGTGGAGGGGGAAAATGGGCAGCTGATATTAGGGGCTAGAGTAGAAGGCAAATATTTTGAGAATGACAAGGGCAGCGAATGTACATATGAGCTTGACACAATGGATGGATGTATGGATTGTGATAAGAATTGTACGAGCCCCTCATAAAATAATAATAATAAAAAAAAGAGTTACAGTCTTAGAAACCCACTGGGGCAGTCCTAGCCTGTCCTGCAGCGTCACGATGAGTCAGAATCGATTTGACGGCTGTGTGAGTGAGACATTGGCTCAGATCTCTGAATACAGGTATATAGATACAGGAGTGTCACTCAATATTACCAGCTGGCTAAGATTGGACTTTCACTTTGAACGTTTCCAATTTTAAAGTGGGACATAGTGAATAGACCCCGCTGCCCTCAACGCCCTGAATGAACATTAAAAACAAAGCATGTAAACAAATGTCACACAGGTATAAAAATGCACATAAGAGGATTAAAAATCTGCACCTACTTGTCCCCCAGCGCAGAGTGAAAGAAAGGACTTGCAGTACCTTTGCTGTCACTCTGGCCCTTTCCACTCCTCTTCAGACAACGAGGGTCCGCGGGGAGGCAGGACAGACAGCTTTAAGTAGCTACCTTATATAGTTATACAAGAAACCCAGCAGCATCTTTTTAACCCTTGTATTATTTTCTATTAGGTTTTCACCTGATATTCTTGAATTAGATAGAAATGTAACAAATACTTATTTCTGTTCCTTATCTAATGAAATAAGCCAGACCAACAAGAATGATGTTGGCAACACAAGCTTTACTATTTAGTTAGGTACTGGTATTCTTCATCAGGCTAGGGAGGTTCCCAAATATCTTAAATCAAGAACGAGGCCAAATTGTATCAAACTCCATATTGGCATGTATAGTAACGCAAGCCTACATTTTCCCTCCTCATTGAATCATACAAATAATGTAGTACATGAGTTCCCCAGTATTAAACTCTCCTTGCATTTCTTGGAGAAGCATAACTAGGAGGTGGTTCATTACTCTGTCAATATTTTGGTGAATTCAGTTTATGAGTCTATTGGTTAGGCTTTTTACATTTGTATTCTACAGATTGGGCTGTTGTTTTTTTTAAAATCATTTTATTGGGGGTTCATACAACTCTTTTCTTTTTTAATCATTTTATTAGGGGCTCATACAACTCATCACAATCCATACACACATCAGACTGTTTCTTCTGTGAGGCTTTTAATCATAGTTTTTATCAAGTTTTATCATAGTCATATCAATTTCATAAACTAAACCGAAGAGTTTCCTTTTATCTAATTTCAGGGAAAAACTTTTTATACAACGTGGAACGTATATATTCCCTGAAGTTATGAAAGGGTCTGTCCAGAAACCACCTGAGCACAAAGCTGTTTGGGACTAGCTCTTTAATTGCAGAGTTATTCTATGATTACTGGTCTATTCAAGTTTTCCATGTCATGATAATTTTGATCTTTGTTTAAAAAAATCATTTATTTGAAGATTTCAAATTTCCCAGCAATACATTCTCTTGTATCTTCTCACAGCTTAAAAAAATATAGCCCTTAGTTTCTAATTAATTCTGTCATCTGAATGTTTAAATAAGAACCAATTAGGTTTACCTACCCTTTAAAAAGCCTTTCATGACAATTTGCTTTACATTCTGTGCATGCGACTTCATTCTTCTTCCCCAGAATTGTGGCTCTGCTTTACTTTTTAAGTTGAAAGCCTTTTCTCTTTCTTTAAAAATGAAAATTCTTAACAATACAAAATTTTCTTCTGGTATTACTTGGCTACTTTGATACATGATAATTTCATTTTCATCGAAACTCTCATGGTTTCAGTGATCGTTTCCATGCTGATCACTGTCAAACCTTTTGAGTCTCATCACTGAGCTTCAATTCATCTTAAAATATCTGAACTTTAAAAGCAAAACAAAAGATCCTATAGCAACTAAAAATGAACATGTCTAAAGTAAGCATCTCACTTTTACACCAAGCTGCAACTATTACTACCGGTATTTTACCTGTCTTCCCGTTATCCACCATCTTAGGTAAGCAAACAGAAATCTGGAATTTATCCTGGATGCTCCCTTCTTCCCAAATCTCCATTTTAAGTTAATGAGAAGTTCTCGTTTTACCTTCTTTGCTCTGTCCCTGCAAATAAATGTCTTTTTTTCCCCCTCCCAGATTCCTAACTCAAGAAACCAACAGCTCACACATTACAGCATAATTGTTGATTCAAAGGTTTGAAATGGAAAACATTGATAAACCTTCCAAGGAAAGGTATAACCCAATACATTTTCTGGGAAAAAGAATCAACCTATGTAAAACATTTAGAAAATTAAATGTGACTTTTCTATAAGCTGTGACGCATGACTTTAGAGAATGGCTTACCTTTTGTTACTTTCCATGATGTTAAGGCCCAACGTGTAATCTTCATTTAAATACGTATATTCAGAGATACCAAAGTGTTCTAATTTAGGGGTTATGCACTCAAAGTCATCCATCTGCAGTGCACACCTGGGAGTCTTGAGTATTTTAGCTGGTGATTGTTTGGCAGGTGGGGTTAAAACTCTGGGCTCTTCTTTCTGGTCATTTACTTCTTGTGGATGAGGGGGTGGAATGTGGGCTATCATGTACCGCTCTAGCCCGAAATCAGAAAGTTGTGGACTCCGTGGCAGCTTGTCAGAAACAGAGCTGCTGGGAATAGAGAGATCCTTCCCATCCGGCTTCTGAAGGGTTTCACCATCAGTCACGTCAGGCTTGGAGTTCGTGGTTTCATGCTCCTCTGCTGGGAGGAAAAATCAAAGAGAAGGCACCTGATCAGACATCAAGTCACAGAATCTCATGCACCGAGTCCACTGAAACGACAAAAACCAGCTCCACTTATAAGTTCTCAAATCTGTAATAGTCCCGACTCTCTCTTTGGTTTCCAAATATTTTATTTCAATTGCTCATTAGGTGAACCTCTGACATGTTCCTCTTGTCAACTCATATCCCATGGTGGTGATACGATACAGTGGAACGGGGAACATAACAAGAACAGTGTTTGATAAATGAAACATCAGTATCCCTGAAACAAAAGTCCACTTGTTTTAGTTCACAATTAATTTACCAAAAAAACTCACTGCCACTGAGTCGATTTTGACTCGTAGCAACTCTACAGGACAGAAGTAAGACGATCACTGTGGGTTTCCAAGCCTGAAACTATTCCCAAAGTAGAAAAGCCTCATCTTTCTCCCAGTGCTTTCAAATTGCTGACTTGTATTAGCAGCTCAACGAATAACCAACTGTCACCAAGACTCCTTGTAATTTACAAGTTTGTCTTTCTGTCCTACCACCCTGTTTACTAAACCATTGAATATCATGAAGATGACATTAATCACAGTGGTGTGTTAACTATGCTCCAGTCCAGCGGTTCTCAACCTGTGGGTCGTGACCCCTTTGGGGGGGCTGAACAACCCTTTCACAGGGGTCGCTTGATTCATAACAGTAAAAAAATTACAGTTATGAAGCAGCAACGAAAATAATTTTATGATTAGGGGGTCACAACATGAGGAACTGTATTAAAGGGTCATGGCATTAGGAAGGTTGAGAACCACTGCACTAGTCAATAGAAAATATAAGAATCTTATTTCAGATTTTATCTTTCAGATGTCTAAATTAGAAATGAAAAACAGTTGCATACAAAGAGTAGATTTTATCCTAAATTCAGTCTGCAACAATCTATAGTAGAAGCCTGGTTGGAGGGATGGGGTCGGAATGGACAATTAGAGCACATTTGGAAGCCATGTGGTCTCTGAGCTCTCAGGAGGTTTTACATTTTGACTCCAGGGCTCTGGATCCCTGAAAGACCTATCAATTCACTGAGTTGTTTTGCCATTGTGCGCTTTCTGATCATACTGATGCTCCCCAAACTACCAAAATCCCACACTTGGGTTTATCACAGGCCTGTCCCCGATGAGATTAATAAAACAAAATCACCACCATTCTCCTACCCTTTAAAAAAAAAAAATGCCACAGAATTGATTCTAATGCCTGGTGACCCATGTGTTTCAGAGTAGAACTGACCCATAGGCTAATCACAAAAGGACAAATACTCTATGAGACTACTAGTTGGGTTTTTTAAATAATTATTATTTTGGGGGAGAGTGGGGGATTAAGAAAAGGTTTTCATTTGAAAAGAAAGAGACTGATGGTTATCAAGGGTGGGAGGGGAAGAAATAGGCTAGGAGGTAGACGGGTATTAAAGGGAAGACAAGACAATACACTTTAAGAGGCAGGTGGGGAAAAAAGGGTGCAGGGGATAGGGCAAGCCATGGGAGGCTTGATAAGTTGTTTAAGTTGTTGAATGCAAAATGACAATCTGATATGTAAACCCCCACCACTCAATAAAAAGTTTTATAAAGCTAAAACTAAATAAACTACTGTAAAATGAGCGATTCAAACCTGAATTTTCTTTGGTCCGTGGATTATATCCATACTTCTGGAAAAACTCTCTTATTTTCATGATCTCCGCCGAATTTCTTTTCATCAGCACTTTGGCTGTCTTTAAGAAATCAGTGCTTTCTTTATTTTCCAAACTTGCTTTATGAAGAAGATGATTCGCATCATTCTTTCAAGAAGACAGAAAGTACACAATATCATTTGACTTTCCACTAAGTCTATTTGGATGGATACAAAGTGCACACCACAGAAAAATGCTCAGTATTGCAGCAGTCTTACCTTTAGAGCCTTGACTTCTGACTGCAGGTCACATAAATTCTTCATTGCATAGTCTTCAAAGTCTTTGGTTGAACATTGAATAAACATGAGGAAAGGAGAGGGGAGAGAAAATTTAATTTAGCAGTTTCTCAGAATGGTAAAATCACTGTATTTATATATGACTCATGTAAACCCTCAATGTCAGTGGTATAGCCATGTTAAGTGTTTACTTCTGTAATTGTAAGAACAATATAGATGGGGTGAGAGAACAGTAAGGAACTATGGCTTAATGCAGTGGTTCTCAACCTGTGGGTCTCGACCCCTTACACAGAGGTCACCCGATTCATACCAGTAGCAAAATGACAGTTATGAAGTAGCAACGAAAACAATTTTATGGTTGGGGTCACATCAGGAACTGTATTAAAAGGTCGTGGCATGAGGATGGTTGAGAACCACGGGCTTAATGGGTACAGAATTTCCGGCTAGGATGATAAACTTTCAGAACTAGTGGAGACAGCTCTACAGCATGGGCAATCTAATTCATGTCACTAGATTAAGAGTGCACTTAATGTGGTTATTCTAGCCAGCGTCTCTGTAACGTCCATCAAACCACCTTTTATTGATGGTGGGATACTGGCTCAAGTGTTAAAAAACCAGTGAGTGAGGAGTCATATGCAGGAACCAAACCCAGCAAGAAGCAAACAAGCTTGGGACAGTTTCCATTCCTAAAGAAAGTAGGGCACAGCCCCGAGAAGAGTAGGAGACACAGCTGTTAGCAGCCCCACATTTAGCCAACAGTGCCAACAAGCTCCTTAATATACAACAGTTAGTGACAGTGAATTTTGTTTTATATATGTATGAGGAAAAAGTATTGAGTATTACTGTGAATGATAGACAATATAATTTATTGGCATATATGCAGAAGTTTACTGCTACTTGCGCCAGAGTGAGAAACAAATGACTAATCTGTAAAAACAAAACAAACAATGCACATGAGGTGATTGAAAATACAATGACTTGGGTCTGGTGCACCTTAGTCCTCCCTCAAAGTAACATGTTTGCAGACTTACTCAATGCAAAGAGTTACAGCCTTGGAACCCGCAGAAGCAGTTCTACCTTGTCTCACAGGGTTTCGATGGGACAGAGTAGGGAAACTCTTTACCGGAGCCCACAGCCAGGTCTACCTCTTGCCTTGAAAGCATATCATATATAAATTAGTGTATGCTCAAGTACTCCCTCAACGCAAGAATACTTTCTTCTATTAAATTGGCATTCTATGATGCTCACCTTCCCGACACAACCACTGAAGACAAAGCTGGTGAATAAGCAAATGTGGT